TCACATAATTAAATTCTGTAAAAATAAAAGAAACAAGAATGTAACTTTTATTTTTCAATTAGTTTGGAAATAAAATAAAATTTTATTTAACCAAATTAATTCCACACAAGAAATTAAATTCTGTAAAATAAAAGAAATAAAACTATAACTTTTATTTTTCAATTAATTTGGAAATAAAATAAAATTTTATTTAACCAAATTAATTCCACACAAGAAATTAAATTCTGTAAAATAAAAGAAATAAGAAAATAACTTTTATTTTTCAATTAATTTGGAAATAAAATAAAATTTTATTTAACCAAATTAATTCCACACAAGAAATTAAATTCTGTAAAATAAAAGAAATAAGAAAATAACTTTTATTTTTCAATTAATTTGGAAATAAAATAAAATTTTATTTAACCAAATTAATTCCACACAAGAAATTAAATTCTGTAAAATAAAAGAAATAAGAAAATAACTTTTCTTTTTCAATTAATTTGGAAATAAAATAAAATTTTATTTAACCAAATTAATTTCACACAGAAAATTAATTTCAGTAACACTTCAATAATTAAAATACTGAAAACCGAATTTTAATTAATGAAAACTCAGAAAATAATTTCTAAAACCCAAAATTAATTTCTGAAAAAATTTCAGAAAAATATATTCTGAATTGTTAATGACACCAGTATCGTACTATTAGTTGTTGTCAAAGAAAAGAGACAGTATATTACTACTATCTGTCAAATAGCATATAATCACTATTTGTTTTTCCAACCAGAATATTATTTTGTAAATCCACAGAAAATAATTTTCTTCCGAAATTATTTACGAAGAATGAAAAAGGGAAACAAACGAAAAATTCTGTAAACAGAATAATTCGAATCTGTCTTAAGATTGTTGGAACAATCTTCTGTGTAAATAAAATAATTTGAAAAATTTGAACAAAATATATAAAGAACATACCGAATTTATTTATCGAACCGAATTAAAATTAAAAGACCAAGTCAAGTGTGTGACACTCTGTCCTTACGACAGATTCGCCCCGCTACGGTGCTTATAGTTGAGTGGCGTCTATCTCCCAAGATACAATGATCTTCACAAATTGTAGTAGCACTTCAAACAATTTGTTCGGCGAACCAAACCTGTGATCTATACTCTCTTTAATTTATACTAAATCTAATATGAAGAATAATACAAAAATGCAGAATTTAGGACAGCCAAAGACAATAATCAGACTGATTTTTCAGATAAAAAAAAATCTATCCCTACAAGACAACCGGAATGATGGGTATAAATAGGCACAAAATTTTGACCGAACAGGTTCCAAAGCCAAATGAACTGATGCAATATGTTTTAAACAGATTTTTGACCGTTGCACGTGGAACCAAATTCTTTCCAGATTAATTGAAAAGAAGCCGTTGGACCAAAGTCAAACCTGTTGGACCTTATTTATTTAAACTATTGAATTTAGAATTAAATTAAATTCTCACAATTACAAACTTTAGGAAACCACTTAAGAACCCAAAATTTGAATTTAGAATTAAATTAAATTCTCATAATAAATTTTATTGAAAAAATTCAAATGAATTTAATCTTAAAAAATTAATATTAGATCCGAAAACGACGTTAACTTCCCATTCACTCATAAATGGTTTTGACATATCATTTTCACCGTGTAACTTGCCACGCGGCACAGAATACTTCACCTCTTCGGACACACTCCAAAAAACGTTTAGGGCCCACTCAATTTTAGACTAAAAAATATGCCTATATTTAAACCATTTTTCCAACATTGTGCAGAGACATTGGATGTGAACCAAGAAGAAAGGGGAGCTTCTTCGCAGAGCTGTTTGAACCTTATGGATCAAAACACTATGCTGGGCTTTGACCTTAAAGAGGCTCTCTATCTAGTGAGTGAGCAAGCCTCATTGTACCCAAAAGTGTGTTAATCTATTGGTAAACTTGTTGCTTAGTCTCAGTTTGACTACCTTCAATTTTAGTTAAAATATCAAAAAGTTATTATCAATTATTATATTATTATTTTTATTTTTTTATATATATTTTTATAAAAAATTAAAAAATTATTAAAATAATCAATTGCCAAACAAAACTTTAATTTTTATTTTTATTTGTTTTTTTTCTTTTTTTTTTTTGGAGTTTAGGAAGAGGAGTGGATTTGCTAAGAAAGGACTGGAAAAGTAATTAAGTTAAAAAAAAATATATATTGTCATGGAGATAGTCGTGTCTTATCGAACTGCTTTTTTTTTTGGTTGAAAATGCAGACATGAGTGTCATGTTTTTAGAAATAAAATTATAAAATTGATCATGTTTTTAGGAATAAAATTATGAACTTGATCAATTTTGTGAGTTAAATCTCAATCAATTTAGTGTTTATTTTTATAAAAAAAATCTAAGGCATTGTCACTTAGATCAAATTGACATAAAATTTTAAAATTAATGATTAAAATTAAGTCAATTGAAATTAGAATAATGCTTGGGACCCCCTTTTGGGGGTCACCCCCTCACCTCCCTTGCCACGTGGCGGGTGGTGATTAGAGGAGCAGGAAAAAAAGAAAAAGAAAAAGAAAATGTAACCAATGAGAGAGAGAGAGGGGTTAAAGGAGTGGGGGAAAAAGAGGGGATGAATCATTGTTGTTGAAATTATAAGGACTAAAATATAAGAATTAAGTATATTTAAAAACTAAAAAAAATGATTAAAATCTTTAAAATAAAAATAAAAAATTCAGAAAACTGTTAAAATGCTTTGAGTGCTGTTTGTTTTTTGATGGGGTAGTTTCATATGTACTGGGTTCGTCCACGCAAATCAAATCAACACCAAATAAATATGTAACTATAACTTTGTTTGTGTGTAAAGATTGAAAAGAGTGAATTTGTAGAATCTGAAAAATACCCACCAATTTTCAATGGCGATTGCTTCTTCTTCATCTTCAATTCGTCCTCTTAACCATTCCTCCTTATTCCCAAAATGCCCTTCCCTTTCTCACCATTCCCAATTTCGTCCCCCTCCCCCGTTCTCCCCTCCGTCGTTTCGCTCCACAGTCCGTGCAACCTCTGCAGTCGTTCTAGAACGGGTATTCTCTCACCCCTCCCTGTTTGGTTGCCTAGAAACTTTGAGAAAATTGAAATTTATGTCGTATTTATTTTTGTTTCATGTAGATGAGTCACTGATTCTACTACTTTTTGTATGAAAATTGTGGGTTTTATATGGAATTTGAGCATGAATGCTTTAGAGGAGAAGGGAAGCTGTAATGGGTATCTTGGTGTTTGTCTGACTGATTATTTGAAATCATAATTTTTCAAACAGAGCATGTCATAGCTTTTGGTAGACAGAATTGCATATAATAGAAGTGGTGATGCTGATTTAATGTGTAAGAGCATCTCCAACGGTGTACCAAATGATTCACCAAATCTGAGTTAAAAAGGGGTCATTTCCTTAATTTGATACTTCGCGCTCCAACGGTTCAACATCAAATCCGTTTCATCAAATTTGCGCTGGGCAACCGGTTGGTTGACCGGCCGGTCAACCGGTAACGGCAAAAATTTTTTTTTTTTTTTTACCGGTTTGAACTTTTTTTTTTTGAATTTTTTGAACTTTTGGTGGTCGACCACCTAGGCAATTTTTTTTTTTTTTTTTTTTTTTGGACTGGTTTGAACCTTTTTGTGAATTTTCTGAACTTTCTCCGGGGCGACCGGTTGGTTAACCGGTTGGTCAACCGGATGGTCGACCCGTTCGTGAACAGTGATTTGGTGAAATGCTTCGCCTGCACTCAGTTTGGTACCATTTTTGCTGAATTCTGGATTTGATATCGATTTGGTGAAACCGTTGGAGCTTAAAAAAGTGGTTTTTTCACCAAATTTTAAATTTGATGCGAGGAGTAGGTGAGGAGTAGGTGGAGAGTAGGTGAAGTAGGTGAATGTGTAGTGGTAGTGGTAAGTGTGTAGGTGTAGTAGGTGGAGTAGGTGATGGTAGGTTTTAACAAGTGGTGATGCTGATTTAATGTGTAAAGGACTCTGCTTTTTGTATAATTTAGACCATCTTCAACCCGTCACCAATTTTTTCGTCTAATTTGATTCCAAATTTGAATAAAAAGCTTGATTTGATATGAATTACTCCAATTCTTTCTTCAAATTTTCATCAATTTTTAAAAATTCCCCTCTTATCCCAAATTTCCATTTCCATTAAATTTGATGAAAAACAAATCATCTCCAATGCTTCATCTTTTTAAATTTTCATCAAATTCAAATTTGATGAGTTATCAATTTGATGAAAAAAATGACTGACCTTTGATCTGATGAACATTTGATGAAAGGATTGGAGATGATTTTTAAACATTTTTTCATCAAATTTAAATTTGATGAAAAAAAAGTTGAGGGATTGGAGATTGCTCTAATGAGGTATTGGACACACATATACCATTAAAGGAAAATAACACATCAAAAGGAACTGAGGGAGTACTAGTGTAAAACTAAGCCCTTCTAATATGTATATATGCGTAACCGGAAAAACAAATGTGTATATGAAAATATTGAATAAGGTAATTTGTGTGTGTGCGCACACATGTGCACTTGTCTCTGTTTTTAAGTTTGTTGGGTGCTATAATGAAAAAAGACTTGATAACCTATGATTTAATTGGAAACGCAGCCCTCGCTTTATTAAGTTGAGTTGTAAACAAATTTCTGCATTTTAAATTAACAAGTACGTTATTATGTGGATTTGATTTGTTCCTAGCAATAATCCAATTTGTCCTAATTATGCTTGTCATTAACATCAAATAGAAGATTTTGAAATTTGGAATTAAAGCTTCCAAACTAAGGAGTGGCTCAGGCTCAACCTGGTTTGTTTGACCAGTTTTCAGAAAATACCATGGTTCCTATTGGTTTGAAAAGATTATATCTGACTTTGAAAGGTTTGGTTCTTGACATAGTTCAACCAAATAAATTAAGTTGTACCTATTTTTAGCGGCATTATGAGGACTGTTTCTGATTTTTTGGTTCATTTTGTCATTGGGTTGAATGTTAGATATTTTCTATTGTTGTCAATAAATCCTTTATGTCATATCTATTGCAATGATAGATGGTGCAGGGATTTCAACATTATATTTCTTTTATTGATTGACATTAGTTCATTTCTGGTTCATATAATATTTCTTTCAACATTATATTTGTAGTTCATTTTTCAAATTTTTTTAACCTTTTAAGAATTCAACATTAGTTTTTTCTTGCATATTGTTTTGGGTTCGTCATCCTTGCTCAGTAGTTTATATTGGGGTAATATTAATAAGGGTTTTCTTTTTCAGGAATCAATCACTCAGCCTCAAGATACAACCGAGGTTGAGTTGTTTGCATGCCCAGTATGCTTTGAACCACTAGTAAGGAAAGGTCCATCAGGTTTTAACTTGTAAGTTTGAAATTCAAACCACAGATAACATGTGTGGTCGTTGTTGCATATTTTATTTAGTTAATCTCTTTGCTGGCGTGTATGTTCCTACTGGGGTTGACTGAATCTACCAAATCCGCAGGCCAGCAATTTACAGGTCTGGTTTCAAATGTAAGAAATGCAACAAGACATACTCCAGCAAAAACATTTATATTGATCTCACTGTTACTGCTGGAACAAAGGACTACACAGAATACCAACCAGCCAGGACTGAGCTTTTTCGGTATGAACACATTGTGGTTCATCTTCCTATCATACCATTCATAGAATTCAATGAACTATGTAGTCATGAAGTTGAAATTTTATTCATTTCTTTATGTTGACTTGATGAATTCAAGCAGTGAAATAATGCTTGATTATGATGTTTCTGATGACCTGGTGGCCCTTAGCTTCATTTTTTGTTATTTTTCTTTTTATTTTTAATTTAAGCTCAAACATCGTGATGTGCAAATTAGTCCACCTTTGATGATTTTCCCGCTATTTTCTTTATAAATAAGGAACCCCCTCGCCCCTCAACCAACATGCACAAACAACAAATAATTGCGGATGCAATTTTAGAATTGGTTACCAGGGCTTTGAACTCGTGTTTAGGAATTTTTTTTTTTTTGGTATTAGCCAATGCATTTCGTGTCACATAGTATTGATTTTTATACATGTCAATTAATTATTTTTTATAAGTTAGAGTTTTTTTGTTTTTTATTTTTCCTTGTGTTGGACTTGTATTGTGCAAGGAGCTATGCTGCTGGTTGTGAATTACCGGGACAACAGAAAACTGAGAAATTGGGATTTTTATCATAAAATGTCAGTCTTTTATGGGTTTGGTTCTTAATATTGCATCTTAAGCTTCTTGAACTTTCATAAAAATGGGTTAATTGAGTCATTGTTTATTAAGCTTGGTTTATTTGATTTCTTAAGAAGTCAAACTAGCTTCTTAAAGAGACTAATGTTAGCTAACTATGAGTTTTGTTCACCTAATAGCCCTCCTCAATCAAGACTTACAAGCCAAAAACATCTTTTAGAAGATGGAGAGCCATATTATTTTAAGTTGTAATGGCATTCTGAATTTAGTTGACCACTGTTCTCTAGGTTTGATTATAAACTTGTACACTCCCTTTGCCAAATTTTAGCTATTTTTGGTCAGGGATTTTGTTTTCCTTTTCGTTTTACAAAATTCAATTATACATCCTGTTGACCTATGCATTCAACGATCTTATTGTTCAATTTCTTCTATTGATCAAGATTTTTATCACGAGAACAAACACCATACGCTCCTATATACTTAACAATTAGGAACAAAACTATTCAGATATCAGAACTAAGAAAAACTGGAATTTGCTATTTCTGCAGCATGTCTGATCAACCTTCTAGTCTGAATCTCATTCTTTTAGAGCCTCCTGCTTGACATTCTCATCTTACTCTTTTTTTTTTCGTACCTTATTACTTTGCTGATGATTGGTTACATAATTCTTGAAAATGAAGTATGGAGGCATCCTTTTGGAGAACAACCTCGTAATCTGAATCTCATTCTTCTAGAGCCTAGAGGAAATAACAGACAATTTTCTGTATGGTTTTCAGTCCTTAGTTGTGATGAATTCAAAATAAAACTACGAGATGTAATTGAGATAGGATATGCTCACTGCTAACTTTTGCTACTTTCATTTTCTTTAGGAGTCCACTTGTTTCGTTCTTTTATGAAAGAGGCTGGCGTCAAAATTTTAACCGTAGTGGCTTTCCGGGTCCTGATGAAGAGGTAAATCTTACTTGTTTAGTTTTGTGATATAGTTGCATTCATATAGTTAATGAATTTCATGGAGTTTCATATAAAAATAACAAAACCAAAGTGGAAACTATTTCGTAATATGTTGATTTTGCTGAGTCTTTCATGATCAGATAGAGGATGCAAAGTTAATCTATCTAGTTAAAGGGATAAATTCCTGACTAAATTACTAGGAAACATTTGCGTCTTTGTGTATCATCGACAAGGAACTTACAATAATGTCATTATTTCATCATTGGGATTCTGGATGGAAACATACACTTGACCATAGATAAAACATACGTTATAGTCATTGACTAATACATGTAGCCTTCTCTGCCAATTGGATTTTTGAAGTTGCTAGGGCAAATGCCTTGTGAGTCGTGACCATGTCAGAACACAATACTTGTGTCCATGCCCACTGATAATGGTGGCTAATTGGTGTAATTTCTTGTAAAGTTGTACTCTTGTTTTTTGTGCAGTTCAAAATGGCTCAGGAATACTTTGAACCTGCAGAAGGTGGTGTTTTGGTAGATGTTAGCTGTGGGAGTGGTTTGTTTTCTCGGAAATTTGCCAAATCCGGGACCTATTCAAAAGTTGTTGCTCTGGATTTTTCTGAAAATATGCTGCGGCAATGTTATGATTTCATCGAGAATGACGACTCAATTTTAACCATGTAAGTTTTACTTCTTCCTTCCTAAGCTGTAGTCAGGGCCATGATGTTAAAATATCAATGTGATCTTTCTTTTTTCTTTTTAATTTTTTAGGATAAGATAAAAATATCTGTCTTATCTTATCATATTTAATTCTTTAAGGGTACTGTTCTTGTGCAAGAAAGAGATATCTGAATTGTGTTTCACTGTGACTTTTTGCAGCAATCTTGCTCTCGTAAGGGCAGATGTTTCCAGGCTGCCCTTCACATCTGGTTCGATTGATGCTGTTCATGCTGGTGCAGCCTTGCATTGTTGGCCATCTCCTTCCAATGCAGTGAGTTCTTTCACTTGATTTATCTCTTCTTGAGAGTAGTTTTACCCCCCAAGGCACTCTACTTAGGGCCATCCTTTTGTGTTTGATTTCATGTGGGTGGTTAGAATTTTTTTTATGTTATCCACTATGATCAAAACTATGGATTAGGCATGCACAATATGTTTCCTCCCCCCAATAAATAAATAAATAATACACAACATAAATAGTTCAATATATTTGCTTGACATGTAGGATCTGTTTTGGATTTCTTCCCTATGTACATGTATTTCTTTTAACTTGCTCTTCTACAGTTCAGTTGTGAATGCTTTCATCAGGAATTGAGCAAGTTTTATTGTATTACTTGGTTTCTTTTGATACAAATTGACGTGTAAATTCGAGTTTGATGTTCGGGTAATCTTCGATATCTGCTCATATTGTGTAAGGTTGCTGAAATAAATCGTATACTGCGAAGTGGTGGTGTCTTTGTTGGGACTACCTTTCTTCGAGCCAGTCCATCCACTCCCGAGATATTGAGGCCTTTTAGACAGGTGATGCTCATTTCTCATTCTATGCCCTAGTTTATACTTCATTTGTATGGAAAAGTTATGTTTGAGATTTGACTTATCCATTAAAATGTCCAACCTTTTGTACTTTTCAACTGGGAGATCAAATTGTTCGACTAAAGGTTATGGTCTTTCTAATTCAAATTTAAAAACATAGAACAATGTTATGTACTAAGAAGAACGACATGGACATGAACACGTGAAATGACACGACACGGATAGGTGAACCAAAACCACATGACAATTTTAAAAAAATACCAAACACTGCACGTGGGGGACACATAAAAAAATATAATTTTAATATTTATTTTTTGTCACGTATATGATATAACTCTCAAAGATAATACAAAAATGCAACATAACATTAATTGTTATAAATGTACATTAATTTTCTTTTATCATTGTATACTAAATTATTTTGTTCAAACTTATAGTTACTTTTATGTGTTTAAGTAATAGACACGTGTGCCCCCAAGTGTATAGATCTAAAAAGATAAAAAAGAAAAAATACAACTGGTTTGGAGATGAAGTGTCTGATGTCTGACGTAGATACGGATACAGACATAGACATAGACATGTTACATTTTTAGAAGTGTCGGTACTTCTTCCCAAACATAGGCTATCTACTTCCCATCATGCAAGGTTTTTGTTCATGATAAATCAAAAATTTGATCTGAAAGTGTTTTGCTTTTGTGCGGCAGAGGATTCAGGGGAATTATAACTATTTTACAAAGGAGGAGATCGAGGACTTGTGCACAACATGTGGTCTTATCAACTACTCAAGCAAAGTCCAACAGTCTTTCATCATGTTCTCTGCACAGAAGCCTTGAGACTCTTGTTTTGGTACATCTGTAGCATCATTTTCTCCATCTTCTTCTTCTCTGTTGATTTGTTGTAGAGTTCATGCCATTTTGTTTTTTCAAGTAAAAATGCATTCATACTACCCAATAGGAGTTTCATAGAACTTTATCTACTCCTCACCTAAAGGATTCATAGAGATTGTGTGACAAAATTATCACAAATGCAAAGCAAAATTATTGGTTATTATATCTACTGCCTGATTTGTACCAAATTGACTGTAATAATATTGAAGTAATAAAAGAGTTATGAATGTTCAGTTATGACAGGATTGTAGGCACTCTAATGGAGTGTTTTTGTGCTATATTTTCCTTTTATGCTAAAACCCTATGATATATACTATATTTTGCTTGTCTATATATTTATTATTGTATTGATGAGAAAGTAATTGTAATTTTATTTTTGAGATAGGTGAATCATGTGTTTGAGCTCTGAGTTATTTTCGTATATAAATAAAACCATATAACCTTCATTAATTAGAGTTCAATATTCTTGTAATTATATTGTTAGAATCGTATGATTCACGATTTGATATATTTTTGAAATTATAATTGTCATCAATTTTTTAAAAATAAATATGATTCAAATGTATATTATATTAATATTCGATTATCTTGATTTTTTGTATAAATATTTTACTCAATAAATCTTAAAAAGTAAATAGTTTGGATCACTAAGATTGATCTCACAACAGGCTTCTGAAACGTTTTCTCAAATAGAAATTACTAACTTGCAAGCATCCAAACCTATATTATTATTATTGTTTTGCATTTTTAGTGGGCAAAAACAGGTGAGAAAGATCATGCGATCTAGTGGTTAAAACAAAGGGGTACATACTTGTAGATGTTAGAGCCATCTCCATGTGGAAGTGCCTTTTTAAATTAAAATTAATTAAAATCTTTTTGAACAAAAGCAAGTGGAAGGTCTCAAGCTTCTGACTCACAAACTCTTTTCTGAGAGAGAGAGAGAGAGAGAGAGAGAGATCGGCCCTCGTGCGTCTCACACGCTGATACCTTCTGTTTGTTCCCTCTCCCACCCCTCGTGCGTTGCTGCTGGATCTTTGACCTTTGACCACACTTTAAACAAAAACAAACAAAACAAACAAAAAAACAAAAATATTATCTGCTACTAATTTTTATTTTGAAATTTAAGAGTTGGTTTGAGAATTGATTTTTTTAATATATTTTTAATTTTTTACAAAAAAAAGTATAAAAAAATAAAGAGAATGAATTAATTTTTTGTACAATTTTTTTTTTTTGGTTAAGGCCTACTTTGGCATTTGGATTAAAAGCTAATTTTTTTGATTTTTTTAGTCATATAATCTCTTTATTTTTTTAAGTTCTTTTCAAAAAAGCTAAAAAAAAATTAACTTTTAACTTACTTTTCAAAATATGGCTAATTTAGTCACTTCCTAAACAAGGTCTCATGGTATAGATTTACAGTGTGTTCGAATAATAAATTTTTGAAGAAATTTGAAATGGAAAAGAAAAAGATAAAGAAAAAGTACAATTTTGTTAAATTTTTGTAATTGGCAATCTTGTTTGATAAAATTCTTTTCAGTTGTAATTTTATTCGCTCTTATGTTTTAGTAAGGATGTGAGTGTTTAAATGTGAATCTAACTCGAACTGTACTTTTTTTTGCCACATCCCTGACTATGTATGGGGATCGAGCTGTCCAGTCAGCTCATGCGGGTCGAGGGGGCAACACCCGTGCAGGGTCGAGGGATAACGCCCTTGAAGTAAAAAACAAAAATGCAATCAAAATTGTTTGACCGTTCGAGCAGAGAAAATTATCATTCAGTATTTTTGCAGAGCGTCTAAACTTCTGAAAAACCAGTTTTACTGCTCGAGCGGTCAATCTATATGTTTTGCACCGCCTTTACTCACACTACTCAAGCGGTGAAGTGTATACTCAAGCGGTCTTCGTGATCCAGTTTACTATAAAGTGCGCTGTTTGCTCATTTTAAGGTTTGAGCTGTCCAGATTTTCAGAGAGGTGATGATTTAAGAGTGATCAATGAATCAATGAATTTTAAATCAACATCATAAAGGGGTTTATTTTTTTTCTTTTATTTATAAAAGAGAGAGTTATTTTTTGATGGATTTCGGGGAACTTGAGCTTGATACTTTGGTGGATTTCGGAACGGCTCATCGTTGTGGATTCAACATTTGGATTCAATGTTAGGTAACACAATTCCGAGGTAAAGACAGTGGTGAAAGAGGCAAATCGGGATTAGTTCAATTCAGGTATGGATTCGCAAGGTAATTGAGAGTACACATGTGTAATTTCTCTTTGTCTTCTTAGTAGATTGTTTTGTAGCTTTGGCCCGTGATTTTTTTTTTATCACAATTGGAGGTGCTCCAATTGTGATTTTTTCATATTAAATCATTGTGTCGATTTGTCTTTGATTGTGATTGCTATTCATTATTTAAAATTAAAACATAATCACAAATCAATATCTCGGGGATTTTAGATTTTTTAAATTCAATATACTTAAAATAAATTAATTACAGATTTATTGAAAAGCTTATGACTTGAATTATTAATATTGATAAATTTTATCACTAATTTGCAATTATTTTTTTAGAAGTACATTGTTCTGTAATTTTTCTAAATATGAATCAAATATAGTTAAATTTTTAATCCATTTCTCCTGCCTTTTTTTTTCCGTAAATATTTTCTCAAAGAAAAATGATTGGGAGTTCTAATGAGCTCTAATGGGAGTGACCCCACTGTGATGTGATATTTTAACCTTAGTTTTATTTTTTATTTTTATTTTTTTTATTCTTTGCCACATCTTTAGAGCTCAATGATGTATCATTACTCTTATTATTTTATTTATTTAAGTAATTTTTTGAGTAATTTTTTTTAAATACATAGTATTGTTGAAAACAAAAACAAAAGCATATGGAGGGAGTTGGGAAGAGAGGAATATTTGGTTCAGTCCAGAACAAATTACTTTCTAAGCTTTTGGAAAAATTGGATTCATATGCGCACAAAAAAAGAAAAAGAAAAAGAAAAAAAGTCCGGACGTTGGATCCCTTGCACGTGAGGTTCATCACTTACAATGATTAATTCAAATTACAAATATAATTTCTAAATAATATTTATTCGGACTCGCTTAGTCATCGGTGGTGGGGGGTTGTGTGGGGTTTGGCTTTTGTTTCTTGCTACAAATTTTGTGTTTGATTTGATTGTAATGTGTGTATTTCGTGTCTATCTTTTTCTTTAATTCATTTCTGTGTTTATAGAATTGTTCATATAAGAAAAAATAGTTGTTCATGAAGTATTGCGTGATTTGTGTGTAATATTTTTGTTTGTTACTTTCTTTTTTATTGATATACAATAGAATTGGAATATCTAATTCCATGAAATTGTCATGTACATACTCTCATTCATGATTTTAAATATCGATCGATACATATAAAGTTTGTATTCATTTGATATATTAGTAAAAATGAAAAATATATTCATATCAACCAATTCCCATATTTGTTCACAGCAAATACGGTCTATTCGACTGTTATAAATACATTTTTTGCTCGTGTTATCTAATTTTTGATATGAAAAATATAAATATATTGCTTAGTGATACCAGTCCGTATCTTAATAAACATTCCTCTCATTTCTAACCAACGAAAAATATTGAAAACCAATTTAAATGGGAGAATTATAGAGATTTGGTACTTGTCTATTCAAGTTTGACTTCTTGTAAAGATTTAGACAAAGATAAAAGACTAGTTGATGCCAAGGGTTTGGCCATATAGTTCCCAAAACATTTGATAGGAAGGCAAACGATGTTAGTAGAAATCAAAAGATACATGCTCAAAATTGTGTGAAATTTAAGGCAAAGTTTGGGAAGACTAAATAAGTGCACTTTTTGTCTTTTTAGACTAAAAAGTTGAGGTTGAAAATATGAATGTTTGACTTAACTTTTTGACTTTTTATGGAAAAATGTGTAATAAAAAATTGTAAAAATTAGTTTGTAAGGGAAAATTAGAATTGGGAATTGTGCAGTCGTAATTGTTGACTTTTGGTGAATAGTAATGACTTTTTAACTTTTTGAGTAACTTTTTGACTTTTTGACTTTTTTTAAACTACCCAAACTTGGCCTAGTTAAGTGATAGAAAAGATATTTATAACGATGGAGCTGGCTATATATTGGCTGTGAACTAATCTGGGAACTGATTCAATACACATAGTTTTCATTTTGTTGAAGATTCATAAATAAAGCTAAAAATTAGGAATTTAATAATTAATTGTAGTATATTTTAATTTATTGAATTTTATTGTTTAATTATGATATAATTATTGTATTGTTTGATTTTTGATAACTTTAATTAGAGTTTCATAGAATGCCTATAAATAACACATTTATGCAATATGCTATATGAAAAAATCCCAAATATTTTAACTTTGTGGAGAAGATTAAAAATCATAACAAACCCTAGCTTTTACTGTTTTGCCCTAATTTTTTTACCAAGCGGGAGATGTCGACGCGGCAAGCTGTGATTAATCAGCATGTGGACCGGGAGATGCTGACCGAAAAGGAACCGAAAGGTAGGGTAGAAGGGTACAAGTGAAATAATTAAGTATAAGATAGTAATGTTTTAGGGCTTCAAATTCCAAGATGTAGCACTTGGTTAAAGGTTAGAGGCCTCCTCAAAACTAGCAATAACAACTTTAATTAATTAAGCTCATTAATTTGCCAAACTATATAGTGCTTAATGAGTTGTGTTTGTCTGAACAAAACTGCATTATTGTTTAGTTTTTTTGTTTTTGTTTTTGTTTTTGGATTAGTGGAGTTGTTGAATGTTGCCATGTTTGAGTCCCCCTTAACCAGGCTTCCTCGTATATGTCTTTCTTTTTCTTATCACTTTTTATGTGATCTCATAAGTTAGTATGACCTAAGAATGCAAATGCAGAATTGCAGGTAGAGCAAACCGACGCCGTGTTGTCTAGGCACATCTCAAACGGCGCTGTTCTATGAACTTAATTTGCTTTGCAAATTGATGCAGACTTTGGCCAATTTAGCTATCATAGGATGGTAAACAGTAAATAAGTGTTCTTAACTTATGTTGAAATTGGCTCCAAAAGGCCCATGTTGGGTAAAAAATGCTCGAATTGTCAAAACTTCAATAGAGGTACCGTGGCTCATACTAAACAATGAACATTAACCATTCGACCGCCGATTCTAATAAATATTTTTGATATTTCATAGTTCTGCTCTGTTATTCTGATACTATGGCCCTATTTGGGATAT